CATTTCTTGCGCATTACGTTTCGAACACTCGAACAATTATACGGATTCTCCTGCACAGTGGCAGATGTGTAAATACGGGGTTTCGGTTTGTGATAACATCATTACTTGGCTGCTGACCTGCTTTTTCCTTCCCGTTAAATTTATTGTAGAATTGCTATTTGTGGTTAGAAAGGGAGATTAAGAAGCCTTGATTTTCTGCAGATTGGAGGTCATCATACTGATTCAGACTTTGCAGTGAGAGGCAAGGAGCCAAAAGATGAGGTCCAAATTTATACGTGGAAGGATGCTACTCTCCGTGAGTTAACTGATCTGGTATGTTGAAACAATATTTTGTATTTTAACTTCTCCATTGCTTTCTTCTTTTATATTTTTGCCTATGTGTGCATGTCTATGGGTATATATATGGGTTATGGGTACTTCAAAAAATATGCCGTATCCATATCGAGTACTTACCGGCATATGGTATCTCGTATGGTACTTTTGCATACGTACCAGGTATACACGAAACACATACCCAAATTTTTTCTTCTTAATTTTTGGCGTACCCAAACTTACCTACTATATATCCAAGCCGTGTTGTACCTCAGTTGAAACAATATTTTTTTCTATTACAGAGATAAGACTCCTTTAACTAGACTTCTCTTTTATTTTTAGTTTTATACTCAGCATGTTTTTAAAATTAAACTATGGTTTGTAAAATATATTGACATTTAATTTTGATTTATACTTTTACTTTTGGCATTAAATATTAATTGTAGGTTGAATCTTAACAAATTAAACCATTTAACTAATTTTTGCTTTATTCTAAATTAAAAATAAATATTTTTTTACAAGCGTGCTAAACTGTTCCCATACCCTACTTTTTTTGGATTTTACCGTATCGACGTACCTATATCGTACTAGTACCAGTACTCGTACCGTACCCATGCTTCATAGGGTTTGTGTTAACAAAATAATATTTTCTAGTGTTTGTGGCACTAACACCAGTAAGGCAATGAAATATGACATTTTCATGTGTATTTTATTATAATTGAAATTGATTGAAATCAGTATAATCCCTTTGCTCCATTAACATACTTTAATGCATATAGTCGCTGAAGCTTGTTGCTCATGGTGATTTACTGTGCAACAATGTAGATAAACTTTCAAAAGGCAAATAATGCAGGAACAAAAATAGTCCCTCAGCTGCGGGCATTGAAAAATAAAATTGTGGTTATATTACTAGTTTGGAGGCTGTTGGGGAAACTCAATTATCAAATTACTTGGGCACAGGTTTGATTGGTTTAAGTCAGCCAGGATTTGGTGTGTCATTTATTTCTAGATTGGTTGAAGTCTACACAAACAATAAAGCAGATAACAAGTCTTCCTTTCACCAACTCGGTGTTGGTCTTCATATGAACGAGGTAATAAGATGAGTGCCAATTCACTTCTTCGGACCCGCTTAATGTTTCCTATCAGGGCTGGCCTTGGGCATTAGCCCACAAAGCAATTGATTTGGGCCCCAAAATTTAGACTAAATTTAGGGCCCCAAAATTTCCAACTCTTATATGGATCCAAAATTAACATACTCACTCAAAGCTCAAACTAGAAGCAAAGGGCCCAAAAGAAAAAGAAAAAGAAAGAAAACATCTAATTATTCCTCGAGATTTTAGTCTATGCAACTAAATTTTATTAAAATATATTCAACAAATGCAAAAACTTGCTAGTACTTACTATTATTAATAATTGTTATATTTTTAATTTTTATTTTGTGTGTGTGAGGTATAAGGGCCCCAACTTGAAAGCTCGCTCTGGGCCCAAAAGGTTGAGAGCCGGCCCTTTTTCCTATCAAAAAGAAACGTGCCCTTTCTATATTCCATTCAATATTTCATATTAGATTTAATCTTCCTGCTCAACAATGTCTTTATAATGTACTGAGTCCTCACATTGATTGGGGGTGTTTTCCAGGTTAAAGAGGTAGCTCCAGAAGCAAGAAGAAGAGATGCAGTACTGTCCTTTGCATTTGTATATCCTGATAAACATGGACGTTTTGTGGTTAAAGAGGTGCCTCTCTCTCACACACTGAATTATGTCTAAACTGGCTGTGAAGCAATGACACGTATAGTTTTCCTTGCAATATTTTTCCAACCAAGTCCTGATTTGAGATCACCTCTAAATTTAAAGTTGAGGTTGAAGTTGGTAATAACTGTTCATATCCAGTTGCTTTGTGATTGGACTGGAATGCTTGGTAGCCTATGAAGAACAGGACAGGTGTATAGCCCTGGTTAAGGTCACGATTGTATGATTAAGCACACACAGACTTAGTTGTGGACATATATGTTCACATGCGTGGTGTAATAAGTGGATTTGGATCGCAACTTCTGAGTAATATGCCAGTTACTTCTAAACGTGAGAGTTGTAAGTACTTAAAAATAAGTGCTGTAAATACTCAACTACATCCCTCTTAGAATCTCTAAAATGACCAATTTGATTTGTGCTGGTTTTGGGTTCATGTTGAGATTCACATTTCGCCGTTAGGCATTTAAAATATTCTTGCATGCACTTATGCTCTTTTCATAATATTGCATAAAACACATCATAATGATGAGTTGATTTTATTTTTATTTTTATTTTATTTTTTGTGAAGGTGGGGAGAACCTATTCTTATCCAAATGGGAGACGACCTGACAGTGGTGGCAAGGCATTGGGTGAACTTAGCTTCCAGGTACAGAAACATCCTCTTGCGACCTACTTACATTGCTGTCTTGAATTTTATTACTAACTTGTGTCCGACATATTTACAGATCGGAGATTACTTGGATGTGGCAATTCTGTAGAGAAGCTGTCTTCAGTGTTCAGTACTCAGTATTTGGTATTCTGTTTTCGATACTCAAAATGAGTTTAGATTTGGGGAGTTCCTGTAGCTCATGATATTGGATTTTGATTGAATTGTGGGTTATGTAATGATATCATAGTAGGAAAAATACCTCAAACTTTCTGGGGCTTGTTTTATTTTCTCTTCCTAGAAATCTCCAAAACCAACAAGTAATCTATGTTTCTATCTAAAAAGAAGGATTCACTGTGCATGATCTTCTTATAACTTGCCTTTTTATTTTTGTGTTGCCTAGTTTCCTAGTTTCCAAGTCCTTGTCAAGAAAGGTAACAAGGTTCTGTTTACATTATTGCTTGGTACTCGTATCAGTCTCTGTGTTGGAAAACCTGACTTTGTACTTCTTTTCTGAGAACTACGAACAACTATTTTGTGCAACTTTCACACTCGCTCATCGGAGCAAGCAAGTTCTCTGTGCAAGTTGGTTTGTGTTCTGGCTCTGTGTTTGTTGGTTTGATTGGTTATAGGTAGAGGGCAATTTGTGATACCTGCAAGATATGAAAAACTATAGTGGTGTTTGGGAAGTCTTGAACTTGGGTTTTTTTTGATTTTTTTCACAAAAGGACAAATTTTTTGCAAAATAAAAAAAAACACATCCAAACAAAATATCACATCTAATTTCATAATCATTTCACTTTTTCTCTCACAAATATCACATTCAACCACAAAAAAATTTAACTATCTTTTCAAACACAAAAAAAATATTCTCTAATAATATTTTACAATTAAAAAAATCTACATAAAAACTCACTTCTCAAAAACTTACATAAAGATGTAATGGCCTAACAAATGATATAGCTGTTGATCTAATATGAGAAGATGTGATCTTTTGATGTGGTGACCTAACCATTTTGATCTCAATAAAAGTAACTGGCAAAGTGTGGCTCTTCATAACTCAGATTAGAATTGTGATGAGGCTGATCAATGCAGCACACCACTGGCATTTATTTTTGGAAACAAGATGTCCATTGAGGCTTCAAGATCAACAAGCAAATTTGGTGAATAGCTAAAGTGGAAGAAATTCCCCCCCAAAAAAATAAAATTATGTTACTTTTTTTGATAACCGAAAACAAATTATATGTAGTTACTCTCTCATTTCTTATTTTACTTATTCCTTAAAGAGTGAAGAAATTGAGAAAAAATATTTTTAATAAAAAATGAATATTTAAAATATATGGAGAAAAATAGAAAGTATTGATAGAGATTACAGTTGGAAAAGTAATTTTTTTAAATTAAAAAAGAAAATAAAAGAAAAGTATAAGTATGTCGGTGATACTTTTTAAGTTCTAAGGCCCCGTTTGGGGACTTACCTTTTTAGTTAAAAAGTCAAAAAATTATCTTTTTAGTTAAAAAGCCAATAACTCATACCAAAAAGTCAAAGATTCTCTTTTCTCTCTACTTTTTGCATATCTTTTCGTGATTAGCCAAAAAGTCATCCCAAACATATAAGTTTTTTTTACCTACTTTTTTAGCCAAATAGCCAAAAAATTACTAAATTAGCTTGTTCCCAAACGAAGCCTAATTCCAGAGATAAGTAGTGTCGGCCTGAAAACGAGAGGCATGGGGGGTAAAACGACGTCAGATTAGGAATTCTACAACAAGAATGGCAATCATTAAAACGGAAAAGCAAAGAGCGTCATCGCAGGGACAGAGAACAACATTACAAAAAAGAGCAAAAAGTCGAATTTTCAGATAGCTGTTCGTCACATCCTCTCTCTCACCTAGGTCACCGATTACTCTCTCTATTTCACATTTTACTCGTAATCCACAAAATCTGGAAGTTTTTTCTTCTAATGCCCTCGTAATTCTCTCTCTCTCTCTCTCAATCTCTGTCTCTGCACACGCATTCTTGCATTTATGTCAATTATGTCTTTCTAATTCCCCTGATTGTTGTTAATTTTGCAGGCTTTGGAGAGGCAATGGCTGTCAAGAGGGGATTGTCGGGTACAGGCAACAGAAGCGGCAGTGAATCTCTGTCATGGATGGTGATTCTTGTCTCCTTTTCACTGCTTGCACCGTTGATTTTCTTTGTCGGACGAGGAGGACTCTATACTTCAACATTGATTGGTCAGTTTATGATTACATGTACACATTGTCTTAATTTCTCTTGCATTGAGTTTTGTTAATTGCTTATTGAATTTGGAACAGCAGCACTTTAATCCCGTATGGGTTTTTCTTTTTTTTTAATGGTAAATTATGTTGTTTTTTTTTAGAGGGAGGTAAATTATATTGTTGGTCCTGCTAATTTGAGCGAAATTTTACTCTCCTCGTTATAGGTTCAGTTTCATCAATTGAAACCCCACACTTTCAATTATACTCTGGAGAGAAGAGAAAAAGAAAATAAATGATTTGTTAAGTTAACGCTCAGATGGAATATTTTTTTTACAAAATGTTTTCCAGAGAAAATATTTTTCTATATTTGGTTGTAGAAGGTGGAGGTGGAGGTGGTGGTGGAGGTGGAGGTTTGGCGACGGTGGCAGTGATGGTGGCATTTACCGTGGTGATAGTGGTTTGGTGGTGGAGGTGACAGTATTGGTGTTGGTGTGGCGACAGTGGTAAAAATTTAGTTTAGAAAATGTTTAGTGAAAAATATTTTCTACCTAAATAGGCTTGATTTCTGTTGATCATTGGAAAAGAAAATATTTTCTGTTGACTTTCGTTTTTCATTGTAACAAATACTAGAAAATATGAAAAATAATTTTCAAAAAATGTTTTCTGCCTAAACAAGCGAGCATGAGAGAAAATAAAAAAATAAAAATAAATAAAATAAAAAGAGAAAAATATTAGGATTTCTTCTCCTCGTGTTTGGTTAAGCTAGAGAGAAAAGAAAATATAAGGTTGTGATTTCTCTCCAATCTTGTTTGGATAGTGTAACGCTCCGAAATAATTACAATACACCCATCTCATAACAACTAATAAATAGAAAAATAATTGAACTGATGAGCTTTCATTAATCAGAGTTTGATATACAAAATGTGACAAATGCGATGTACATTCATAAACAGTACATCCTGAATCTACAGCATGTGTTACAAGATTGTGAAAAAAAATGAAAACTAAACAGATAATCATATGCTTTAAAGGCTTACAACTTTCCAAGTCAATGCTTGGATACATCAAAAGTGAGTATTTAGCTCAATACAGATAAAACCCTAGGCTTGTACAAAATTAACTAGAAAAAAAAATACAACACTGAGAATTCAGCTCTATAGTCCTCCCAAACTAAGTCTTTGATAGAGCCATATCACCAACATCTGAAAATATTTTTCCCACATAGGGTGAGTCAAAGTTCAGTAGAGATAGTACAACACAATGTATAAATCTTAACAAATCCATAAGGTGAATACATATGCAATGCCCATGCCAAAACGTTTTACATTTCCTTCCAAAAATCATGCCGTGCCAAGTTTATATCACAATTCTCAAATCATGCCATGTACAATAGAAAACAGGGGAAAATCTCAAACCAATGCAATCTTTCATGGATATTTCGTCCATGAGAACTGGCAACCATGTATACACGCGTTTTTCGGAATTTTTACCCTGAACACAGAAGCCAACTTGATTTGGTGATACACACCTTTTTCCAACGTGCACCCATTTTTCTCAAAATCATATACATTTTCAATATATTAAATAAGCAACAATATTAAACTCACATGGATGAGAAATTAGTTTTAATTCACCTAATTCTCATGTAATTTCTACAACACACTCATAACTATCTTCCCTCGATAACCCAAAACAAATATTTCTAAACAGATAAATAAATTTCGTTAAAATACACTTTTCCTCAAAATCGAAATAGAAGTGATAATACATATCCAACTCCACCCTCATCATTATCATCATTCCAATTTCACAATTTCCATATCAATTTCATTTTCTCTTTATAATTTCAAGCATTCACATTTTTGGGCAAAAACCGATTTCTCTTTGAAAATCAATTTTAATGTAGGAAACACCTCATTTCAACATATATCAATCCCAATTTCATACCCACAAGCTTTTCCAAAAGAGAGAGAGAGAGAGAGTTTTAGAAAAAGGAGCTCTAGATCTAAGGTTTTTGAAAGTATAAAGAGAAAGAGATATGAAAAAGTGATGTAAAATGTCACTTTTACAGATTGAAATACGCATAGTCCGCTTGAGCGCAAGAAGTGACGCTTGAGCGTCAAATACAATAAGTTGTTCCGCTCGAGTACTAAGGCACAATAAAGAAGACCATCACCGCTCGAGCTTAAGAAGTGATGCTCGAGCATAAAAAACACACATCCAGAAGTTTGGTAGACAACAGACCAACGCTCAAGCGCAAGAAGTGAATGCTCGACCGCAAGAAGTGGACGCTCGAGCTGAGCCCGCTCAAGCGCAAAAAGCATCGCTCGAGCGTAGAATACATTCACCGAGTAGTTTTGTAGACCTATAAAAAGTACTGAGAGTTTGCAAAGCCCACTCGAGCACAAGAAGCGCCGCTCGAGTGTAGGAGCAAAATTCTGGGTAACAAAAGTTTAAAAACCAAGCTATCAACCTGTTCCAAACGCAACCAATACAATTCAATAACTCAACTCAAGGAGAAACAGTGGAAAACAAAGCAAGAACAACTATACAAGAAAAAGAAACCTAAATCCAAAAGTCAAACGGGTCTTGTTTAAACCAGAAATGCTATAGCGACTACATAGGATAAAAGAAAAGAAACTCTTACCGGTTAAATTACCAAAATAATCTTTTATGCTTTTTTGTCTTTAGTGCTTAGATGGACAACTTTGGTATTACATAAAATTAGTAATCATCCCATTTCTTTTATCTCCCAATCTCTCCAATTTTGGAGTGATTCAAAAAGTGGTTGTAAGACAAATCAATTTCTCTCCTCTTTAGGTTTTTTTTTTTTTCATAATACAGTTTTCTCCTCTTTAGTAATCCAAACAACCAAAAGAAATCCATTTATTTTCTTTTCTCTCCAAATCATTCAATCCAAACGGACTGTCAAGTTTCAATGATGTTTCTCCGTCACTTACCGTTTAACATTTGGATGGAAAAAGGCCACGTGCAACTCATGTAATACTTTTAGCAATTACCGCACAAGAAAAAAGATAAATATATTATACCGATGTCCCTATAATTTCTTTTGAAATTCACTTTGGTTTCACGTGTTGTTTTTCTGCTCAAAATGTTAATGGTAATCGACAAGTGTAGGGTTTAGATTAATGAAATTGAAATTATAGGAACCAAAGTAAAATTTTGCTCAAATTAGGACTAATGGTGTAATTTACCCTTTATTTAAAAAAAAATTCAAAATGAATAAATAATGTATTTACAAATTTATTTCTCAACTATTGCTGAGTAGGTTTTTTTACTTGGATGTAAATATTAAAAAAAAATAAAGGCAAAAATGTAGTTCAAATAGTGTTATGCATTAAGTAAAAAATATGGTTTTCATTAAGTAAAAGGGTTGAAGCCCCATTCTATGATGCTAGTGGTCAGTAATTTGATTACACTTGCATGAATTTTATGTTATTTTAAGGCTATAGGTTCAGTAGTATTTGCATTTGGAAATAGGGCTTAAAGGTATTTAGTTGAATTTCCTAAACTCAATTATGGCGTTGACTTTTTCTATCCTTCTTAGTGTGTTTGAATTAGAATAATTAGTTGTTGACTATATTTTCTTTTGTCATTTTTAAGCTAGCTCACTATGATTGTGTTATATGTAAATATATCTTGAGTTGCAGCATTCATGCATAAGAGAAAGCGATAATGTAATTAAAAAAAATAAGGCAAAAACCAAGAACAATTTTTTTAGGCAGTCCATTTTCTCTTTCTAATTTCATGATTTAAAGAACCCTCGCATGGTTTTGCACAAAAAAATGTGAAAAGATGGACTCAAATTTGATGTTTGAATTTTGAGTTCTTATGCTTTGGTTTTTTTTATGCCAATTTAATTGATCACTTAAATCATAGAATGGAGATTCATTCAAGTACCACATTATTTTGATAGCTGTTTTAATCTGTTATCTCCCTCTCACTTAAATTCTCTCTATGTCATGATAACTCATATTTATAAACTAGTTTTTTCTTATTCTGCAGGTCAAAATGATACTTTAACTGGTCCTCATAAAGAGGTATACTTTTGCTGCTGCTTATATACTTTGATTTTGTTTCTGGGATGCTTCTCTTATTCACTGAGTTTAAAATTTTGAATGTGCAGAACATAGAGTGGAGAGAAAGGCTTGCATTGCAAGATGTTAAATCTCTCTTCTCAAAAGAGGCAAGTTGATATAGTTAGGGGTTTATCCAGTTATAGTGCGGAAACTCTCACTTTTTCATAAGTAGTTGTAGTTTCTCACTTTAAACACTTTCCCTCTTACCTGGCAAACTAATTAATCATATATTTTAGGTGATTGAAGTCATCACAGCCAACACAGATGATTTGGTACCTCTGAGTCTTGATTTTTTGAGAAAAAACAATTTGTCTTCCTCTTGGAAAATTGTTGGGGTGGAAACTGTAGTTGATAATAATGCCACTTTTGTTGAGGTCAGAATGACTGTCTGCTTTTTGTTTGAATTTTACCTTTCTGCTTTTCCTGATCTTTTATGATGCAAAAACTGTCGACTTACAGTTTTTGACACGATGTGTTTTGCTTTGCGGTTTTTTGCTTAAAGCAAAACCAAATAGTTCCAAACATCAAACAATCAACCCCTAGAGGCAAACAGGATGATTCTACAGGTGGTTATATCTTTCTTGTACCCTCTGATCTCTTAACTGCTTAGATTAAACACTTTTTATTTAAAATGATAAACCTTTTGTCCTTGCAGATGATCGTTCTCAATTTGTTGATACACCTGCAAAATTACCAAGAAGGGTAAATATCATTAATGGATACATTGCGTGCTTTCATTGTTTTTTAGTTCCTTTGTAACATTAAAAACATGGGCAAATTACAAACACCCCCCTCGAGGTTTGATAAAAATACAGATTCCCCCCTGAGGTTTGAGAAATTACAAATTGCCCCTGAGAGTCAAATTTTCATAACAAATTAGGGGAAATTAGGGGGGAATCTGTATGAAAATAAAAACCTCAGGGGGCGGGATGTAATTTCTCAAACCTCAGGGGGGAATCTGTATTTTCACCAAACCTCGAGGGGGGTGTTTGTAATTTGCCCTAAAAAAACATCTTGTACCTTCTGTGTTTTTTTCAGTATGTCTCTGCCTTCTCTTAACTGTGACAACCTTTTTTGAGTTTGTATTTTCACCTTTTCAATTTTTCTGCAGCAATTGAGAGAGAATATACGTGAAAGCCGTGCAGCTGACTTACTAAAGCAAGACGAAGAAGTAAATGTAAAGCTTGAAAATGCAGCCATTGAACGTTCCAAATCAGTTGACTCTGCAGTTCTGGGAAAGTATAATTTATGGAGGAAAGAAAATGAGAACGAGAACTCTGATTCAACTGTACGCTTGATGCGAGATCAAATCATTATGGCAAGGGTATACATAAGCATTGCAAATATGAAAAATAAGTATGACTTGGCCCAAGAACATTTTTTTTCCCCTCTATTTATCAAACAATGAACTCAAGTGGGAAATATTATGAACTTACAAATTCACTGATGCTGGACCAGGAAACCAAGGAAGAGATAGACTCCATGTCTATCCTGTTCTTATGTTTATGGTTGTGGCACTTTTCATTTTATTGTGAACAAAAAATGTCATACAGTGCACCCGAGAAAATCAAAACTATGGGCCAACTGCTCTCAAAAATTAGAGGGCAACTGTTTGATTGCAAAGTAGTCACTGGAAAGCTGAGAGCAATGCTTCAGTCAGCAGATGAACAAGTTAGGAGCTCAAAGAAGCAGAGTACATTCCTGAGCCAGTTAGCGGCCAAGACTATTCCAAATGGAGTGCACTGCTTATCCATGCGCTTAACCATTGATTACTATCTCCTCCCACCAGATAAAAGAAAGTTCCCCAAGAGTGAGAATCTGGAAAATCCAAAGCTATACCATTATGCACTTTTCTCTGACAATGTCTTGGCTGCATCAGTTGTTGTCAATTCAACCATTACGAATGCGAAGGTAGAGAGCTTTGTACCAACGTCTCTAGTTGGTTTCATTGTTTGATTTTAAACACAAGCAGTGACGTACTTTGAAGCTTTTTTGCATATTAACTTCTTTGTATGATGAAATTTGCACCTGAAGCATTCGAGCTATAGCGTATTCTGGTAAACTTAATAAACTCTTGAGGAGTGGAAAAAGAAAGATATTACGGGCATATATCACAAGTGGCAGAATATGGTCAGTTATTCAAAACCTCACTTTCCATCTCAATTATGTAAAAACTTTTTGATGTGTCATTACATCTCAATTACTTTCTGGGGTGACACTAGCAAGTTTATTTCATGGGAAATTACTAATTAGTGACACCATGCCTCTTCAAACACCCAAAAATTGATATAGATGCTAATTGTTTCAGTAAATAGTAGGCGTCTTATTGTATATTCCGTAATTTCTATTTGAAATTATTATAGGACCTGGATTTACGGTTGTTTGTCTTTTCTTATGTTTATTTATTGTTGACAATTACCTTGTCTTCCTAATATATATATATTTCTATTGGAACTTCCTCCTTGTAGAAGCAATCA